CACTTTAACATGGTTAGTTTTATATTATGTGACCTTCGCATCACATATTTTAAAAAGTCTATTCAGAAATGCCAGGAATCCCGGGAGTGGGGTTGACAATTTCACCCCAGTCTGGAAGTGTACTGTGCGGCTTGTAGCCTTGGGGTGGCAGCAGCACTTCTCCTCCTTCCCCAGGTCCTCATGTCAGTTCCTCAAGCACAAAACAGGGCGTCCACTCCTCCCCTCAAAGGGAAATGTTTAAGTTGTCAATTCTCTGTTGTCCCTGGGTGAACTAGCTTTGGATCAATCTGTTTTTAATTTTTCCATTTTAGGTTCTTGCCTACAACTTTATTTGGGGAAAGACTAGGACTTTCTTTAATAACAAAACAAAACTGAAAACCACTGTTGTCCATGAAAGATGTAGAGATCCTAGAGACTGGGAACTGATCAGTAAGTCCTTCAGATCAACCTATTTTCCAAGGGTACATCAAAAGGGTAATTTGTAATTAAAGTACCATGTCACTAGGACAAATTACAACAGTCAGTTCAATAAAACAATAGGATCCATTTGACCCACAGAAGAAAGAAAGTCTCTTTTGCCTGATATTCAAGGCCCTCTCAAGTTGCCTGTGCACCTGACCTTTCTTTTGCATGACTCTCCAGAATGACCACTGATGTGTCTTAAGTCAGGTTCCCCAGAATCAGACACTGAGACAAGGATCCATGTGCAAGTGACTTATTAGGGAAGTGTTCCTGGGAGAAACCCAGTTTCAGCCTGGATGTGAGTTCTAACTCAAAATGTGTCCCGACTCCAGGCAAGGTGGCTGGACTTTCAACACCTCCCAGCAGTCATTCATTGACTCAGCTGCCCTGGCGCAGGATATGTTTTCGCTGGCTCATCCAGCCCTCTGCAGTGGAGGGCAAAGCAGCTCCAGGAGCCCACAAGGGGTCCTCCACAGAGAATCTAGGGCAGGGGTTTTCAACCTTCCTAATGCCGCGACCCTTTAATACAGTTCTTCATGTTGTGGTGACCCCCAACCATAATATTATTTTTGTCGCTACTTCATAACTATAATTTTGCTACTGTGATCCATCGTCATGTGAATATCTGATATACAGGTTGTATTTTCATTGTTTCAAATTGAACATAATTAAAGCATAATGATTAATCACAAAAACAATATGTAATTATATATGTGTTTTCTGAATCACAGATTTTTTTTTTTTCCTCAAATTCTTTCATCTTTGAGATTGTTTTCATATTCATGATGCCTTTGTGATGAAATGAAATCCTATCTGAGAATAGTATTTGGGGATCAGACTTTCCTCTTAGCGTAGTAACATATTGCTGTGGAGTATTCTGACACCAGCCTGCTGGTTTCTCCCTTAAAAAGTGTTTGCTTTTCTACTGATTACCCAAGTAGTTTTCTTCCACTTTGAATTTCAATAATTTAACCAGAATATATCCCAGTGTTGAACAATGAATCAAACTTTTCCAGAATTTTGCTGTTTTTCAGATTTAATTTTTGCTTTAGTTCAGGAAAACATTTTGTTATTTTTAAATACAGTTTCTAATTGTTCATTTTGAGTTTTCTTCTTCAGAAGCACCAATTTGCTTTTCTCTGGGCTTTTTTCGAATTGTTCAATGGCTTTATCTTCCCATTGATTGTTACTATGAGAACCAAGTATTTCTTCAACATATGTCATTTGATATCACTGTATTACAATAGTAGTAAACAAAAGACTTATGATTGTAGATAGTTATATTGACTGTTTGTAGTTACATATTTAAAATACATTAATTGTAATTAGGCTAATCAAAGAAATCCAAGTGCAAAAGTAATACTATGTGTTTTTGTTTTCTTTTCCTTGCCATAGGGCATTATGGACATCGAAGCATATTTTGAAAGAATTGGTTATAAGAACTCTAGGAACAAATTGGACCTGGAAACATTAACTGACATTCTTCAGCACCAGATCCAGGCCATTCCCTTTGAGAACCTTAACATCCACTGTGGGGAACCCATGGAGTTGGGCTTGGAGGCTGTTTTTGATCAACTTGTGAGGAAGAACCGGGGTGGGTGGTGTGGCCAGGTCAATCAACTTCTGTACTGGGCTCTGACCACAATGGGCTTTGAGACCACAATGCTGGGAGGCTATGTTTACAGCACTCCAGCTGACAAATACAGCAGTGCCATGATTCACCTCCTGCTGAAGGTGACGGTGGGTGGCCGGAACTACATAGTTGATGCTGGGTTTGGACGCTCTTACCAGATATGGCAGCCTCTGGAGTTAATTTCTGGGAAGGATCAACCTCAGGTGCCTTGTATCTTCTGCTTGACAGAAGAGGGAGGAACCTGGTACCTGGACCAAATCAGAAGAGAACAGTACATTCCAAACCAAGAATTCCTTAATTCTGATCTCCTGGAAAAGAACAAGTACAGAAAGATCTTCTCCTTTACGCTTGAACCTCAAACAATTGAGGATTTTGAGTCTGTTAATGAATACCTTCAGATGTCTGCAGCATCTGTGTTTACAAGCAAGTCATTCTGTTCCTTGCAAACCCCAAATGGGGTTCACTGTTTAGTGGGCTTCACCCTCACCTTTAGAAAATTCAATTATAAGGACAATATGGATCTGGTGGAGTTTAAGACACTGAATGAAGAAGAAATAGAAGAAGAGCTGAAAAATATATTTAATATTTCCTTGGAGAGAAAGCTTGTGCCCAAACATGGTGATAAATTTTTTACCATTTAGAGGAAGGAGTAGAAATGGTGTTCAGTATTATTTCAGGTACTGAAACTTCTTACCATAATAAAATTCAAATAAATATAAAAGTAGAGAGAATAAAATAACAAACCCCTATTTATCACCAATTTTACCAACTATCAACTGGCAGCCTCTCTCTTAAATTTCCTTAGTGACCCCACATGATATTAAAGAAAATCTTAGCCATCCAATCATTTTCAACCTTAAAAATGTTAGCACATGTAGTTAGAAAACATTTAAAAGAAACAGAACCACATGTCTTTTCAAAATTAACAATAATAAAGGCATTTAAAAGCACAGTTCTTTATGTAGCACTTCCTTAATATAGATACCTGAAATTTAGAAATTTTCAAATCCCTGAATTAAGTCATTTTGTCTAAAAGTAAAAATGAGAGTGAATTTTAAAATACTTATCTGTAAAAACTTGATGAATACAAATACGTTAAACATTGTTGGCTAATACGGTGTCAGTCACGAAGTCTGTGTTTGGCAGAGTTAGGAGATGATGGGCTAGGACTGACTTGTATCCACTTTCTTATCTCCCAGTTATTTTCTTTTACTTCCTCCCATACTTTGTCGTAAGAGTTTATAGACCTGAGTGCAGATCCTGTGGACACTGGATGAATTACTTCATGAACCTGTGGCTCTGATCCCTTGGAGGTAAAATGGGGATAATCCTATATAAAAGGCGAATATGCAAATAGACCAAATGGTGGAACAACCAGTTGCTGTGACGTCCACTGACCTCCAGGGGGCAGATGCTCAACACAGGAGCTGCCCTCTGGTGGTCAGTGCACTCCCACCTGGCCTGAGCGCTGCTCAGCCCAAAGCCTGCTGACCACTGGTGAGTGTAGCAGTGGTGGCGGGAGCCTCTCTGGCCTCCGCAGGAGTGCTAAGGATGTCCAACTGCCCTTTAGGCCCACTTCCCCGCAGGGAGTGGGCCTAAGCCTTCAGTTGGGCATCCCCCGAGGGATCTTGGATTGCTAAAGGGTGCAGGCCAGGCTGAGGGGGGACCTCCCACCCCCAAGTGCACGAATGTCCTGCACTGGGCCTATAGTACTTACATAATTAAGTGCTAGACAAGAGTCAGTGCTCAATAAATATTTGTTATGTGGATGAATGAAGAATGTCAGTAATGTTTTTGATACTGAGTCAGCATTTGATGAAAGTTCTTCCATCTTGCTTTATTTCCTTAGCTTGAATCTGGTCCTGAATCTGCCTGCTTCTTCTTTGATTAAATATGAAGATGATATCAGATGGTCCCAATCTGACTGTGGCTTTGTGCTTCAGAATTGGAATCTTTCTTATCTATAACTCACATTTTCTGTTTGTGAATTCCAGAATCAGGGCTATAATTTCAACTGCAGACTTGTTCTAAGAGTATTCTCCCTTTTTAATTTGTGATTATCATAATGATAATGAAAAAAATAAAATAAAATGGAATAAGCATCGCTAAGAGAGGCACTTTAAAAATAGAGTCAGGAGGCTATGAAGGAAGTGGGGCCCTGGCAGCCTGCCCACAGCTTGTGCCTCAATTCTCTGAGCTGCTGTTAAGGTACTAACCTGTTGCTAACTCAGCTCCAGGCTGAGCCATAAACACCCTAGAACAACTGCTAAGTGGACACATATGAACTTTACTTCCTCCTTGTAGTTTTTGCTTTCCTCATTTGCATATTGGAACTAATCAATCCCTGGTAACCTAAGTCAGCAACCCTCATTTGCATGAAAAAATTACACGTTTTGGGTTTTGCCTTTATAAACCCTGTTTTCTTTATTCTCTCTAGAGTGCAGTTGGGTTGCCCCCTGAATTTGCATCTCTTGGACTGGAATCCTTTTGCTCAAGTTTGTTCTTTTTTGCAGCCTGAACCTCCTCTTTAGTTAACAGTAAGTTGAAGAGAAAAGCAGTGGCTAGAATGAAAAAATGTTAGTTAAAAGAATAAGTTACTTTGGATGATGGGTGCTTTATGTACTGATGTAACAGTTGGGAGATACTGCTCAGGGTGGAGATCCTTGGGAGAGGTGGATAGGAGACCTGGCAAGCGCTTGTTAGTAAAGTCACTTGGTTGATGCCAGAACTAAAGAGGGTGTAAAGAAAGAAGTCTGCCAGCCTGGCTACTCTGGTATCTGCTTCTCAGGCCAGGAAGGGAGCCGTCCTGGAATCTTATCAGACTAACAGGTAGAAAGATCTCACAGCCCTTAGTTTTTTTATCGCAGTGGTTAGAGCATTGGCCCATGGACTGAAGGGTCATGGGTTTGAACCCAGTCAAGGGCAGGTATATCAGTTTCAGGCTCGATCCCGGCCTAGTAGGGTGCATACAAGAGGCAACTAATTGATCTCTCTCTCTCTCTCTCTCTCTCTGGCATCAAAGTTTCTCTCTGTCTCTCCCCTTCCTTTCCACTCTCTCTAAAAATCAATGGAAAAAATATCTTTGGGTGAAGATTAACAAAAAAAGGAAAAAGAAAAAAAAGAAAGGCAGCACAGATACCACCAGGCAGGCATCAGCAGCACCTTGCCCACCAGTGGGTCCCAGCAGCAGTGGCCCAGGAGAAACCAGGGTAACCTCTGCTGCAGGGGAACCAAGATCTCAGGTTCCTGACACACATCGCCCTGTTGTTCTTACATCGCCCTCCATCTTTAACCACGTCCCGTGGGCAGGGGCTTCTCATTCACTTGTTTTGTCTATACCACTAAACTATGAGTTCCTTTAGGAAAAAAAAATCCAAGTGCTTAATAAATCCAAGTGCCTAGTGGACAAATAGTTTTGGTAATAAGACAAACAAATAAAACCTTAATTGTGTGTGAATTCTTCCTTGTGGATTAGGACATGAGCCAAGTCCCAACTTATGGAATCAGTCATTCTGGTGCGGGGCCTCTGTAAAGTCTCCCTAAGGCACAAATGTCTGTGGTTTCATCGTCCCATCACCTTAGCCACTCTATTCTATTTGGTCTTTTCTTTGCAAAGAGACCAATGACAGCTCACATTGGCATTTATCTTTCAGGCAGTGATTCTCAATCTATTCTAACTTTACCCCTAATAGGACATTTGGTGATATCTGGAGACATCTGGTGCTATCTGTGGACATTTGGCAATATCTGGAGACATCTGGTGATATCTGGAGACATTTGGCGATATCTGGAGACATCTGGTGATATCTGTGGACATTCGGGAATATTTGGAGACATCTGGTGATATCTGGAGTCATCTTTAGTTATCACAATTGAGGGAAGAGGTGCTACTGGTATCCAGAAGGTAAAGGTCAGGAGTGCTGTTAACATTCGACAAGACACAGGCCAGCCCCCACAAAGATTACTCATGCCAAAATGTCAATACAGTCATGCGCCACTTAATAATGGGGACATGTTCTGAGAAAAGTTTATTAGGTGGTTTTGTCATTGTGCAAACATCATAGAGTGCAATTATCTAGATGCTAGAGCCAACTATACACCTAGGCTATATGGTATAGCCTATTGCTCCTAGGCTACAAGCCTGTACAGCATGATACTAAACAGCACAACACCAGATTAAATCAAGCACAAGAGAAAATGAGGCAATCAAGAGATGCAGTGAACTTGAGATTTATGAGGCTGCTGCAGGCGTAACAAGGCATTCTGTTTTACAGCAAACTTTTTTTAATTAGTAGAAACAGCGTGCTCTAAAATAACCTTAAAAGTATAGTATAGTAAATCCATAACCTGTAACATCATTATTTAATTTCAATAGCAAGTATTATGTGCTATACTTTTACATGACTGACAGTGCAGTAGGTTTGTTTAAACCAGCATCAGCACAAACAAGTGACTGATGCAACAACATAAAGTCATTTGGTGACAAGCATTTTTCAGCTTCATTATAATCTTACTAGAGGCCCAGTGCATGAATTTGTGCACAGGTGGGGTCCGGTCACCCACCCCAATTTGCCTGATCGGGCCAGGTGGGAGTGGGGGGAAGGGCCATGGGTGTTTCTGGCTGGCCCCACCCCCAATTGGGATGGAGGGGCCAATCAGGGGCAGGGTGGGCTGGGGGTAGGGGCTGTGGGTGGTTGGCCAGCTGGCCCCATCCCCTGCTCGAATTCCCGGTGGGACTCCCAGTCGAGGGGACAATTTGCACATTAGCCTTTTATTATATAGGACTAGAGACCCGGTGCACAAAAATTTGTGCACTTGGGGGGAAGAAGGGGTCCCTCAGCCCAGCCTGTGTCCTCTCACAGTCTGGGACCCCTGGGGAGATAACGACCTGCTGGCTTAGGCCAGCTCCCGGGTGGCAGAGGGCAGGCCCAATCCCTAGGTGCAGCCCGTGGTCTGGCTCACAGCCAATTGGGGAGTTGGGGCGCCACCCCCTGTCATACACAGAAAAGAACAGATTGGGAGGTTGCGT